CTCTTCCTTCTCCTCCTTCACGTCCTCCATATTCTCCTCCTCCATATACTACCGGTACTCCTGCTCCGCGATAGTGTCCTCCTCCATATACTACTCCTGCTCCTCCATAGTCTCCTTCTTCTCCATCTGATTCAGCTCCAATCAGTCTGTCAAACCCGTTAGTCTTGAACAGGTGTGCTAGTAAACGAAATCAAGATAGGACATTAATACCACCACCTCTCATCAAATTATCATGTATCTGGTATGCTAAGATATCCAAAGCAGACAGACAATAAATCAGATGACTCCTGTAGAACAATGAAGCCTTAACAGTGCTAAGTTTGTTTTTGTAAAAAAAAAAAACAAGTCATTAAGTACTGTACCACTTTTGTCTGACATCTATTACAATTGACTTTCTTCACTCAGTTACTTAAAAATTATATCATGACTCTGATTAGAAAAATATACTTCAACACATAAAATAATGACTAATCAGTATACATGTACATGTAAGTCTATGATTGACATAATATATTCAAAATTGAGTATGAAGAAAACAGAAATATAAATCCATTTCATATAATCTCACCTGCTATCTTTTCCCGTTTCCAACAGCAAATGATTCCAAGCACTCCAGCAATACATGTACCAGCAATCACAAACACATGCCATGGCAGCCCTTCTTTGCCTGTTGATAAAATGACTGTTGATAAAATGACTTGATAAAAAGACCACAACTGTTACTTCATTCTGGAAAGAATACCTTTTCTTCTGAATGTTACATCATTTATGAAAAGAGACTTAAATTCATGAAACCTAGGAAGGTTTAAGACAGTGTACAATACTGTCAAGCGAACCAAATAACACATTTGATTTAAAGAGGTTAAAATTTCAACTTCTGTGCTAACAAAGGTTAGGCCACACCAATTTAATTTGTTGGTTCAAGGAGTTACCTGCTTCATTTTTTTCTGATTTGCAAACAAAAAAAATGTTTCAGGCTGACTGAAACAACTCCAAAATGCTCATATTTTGGCCCCAACAGTTGAAGGAAGCCCGTTCTCTTAAGAATTGTTAGTTTATCATCTATTAATGCAGTGGTCTGAAGTTTGAAATTCATTGTTTGAATAACAAACCTGTCTGGTGTGTTGACTTTGTGGCTTTGTAGCATTTGGAGCTATCATAGGATGCCTAGGTCTGTTTTTATTTATTTTATTTTTTTCGCCCTGTCGCTTTATATCTTTTCTGAAAAAATTTGAGAACCAACAAATGAAATTGGTATGGCCTTACTGGAAAAAAACAATTTGTGATCACCTTTGTGTATTGGGAGTGGCTTAGAGGTTCCTGTATGATTAGTGGTTGGTTCACTCGGTGAGTTGGATGGTGTAGATGATACTGGGAAAGTTGGAGGTGCCTCACTAGAATGTGTGGTATCAGGTGTGGGAATACCGGTAGATGTATTCCTTACAGTTGTTTGTTGTGGTGTGGTGGTTGGGGACACAGTAGTGGTTGTCGGTTCAGGGGGTCTTGTACATGTGTTCCCCGTGCTCCAACTGTTTTTACAGTGATAGTCAGTGCCCGGATACCGTTGGAAACATTCATTTATTATATCACTTGGGTTTGGATCAGACCAGCATAAGCAGCATATCTTCTGACAGGTGGTCCCATCAGGGGATAGTTCTTCATCATCAGCACACAGACACACCGCGGGCTGTTTTGGGTTACATTCCTGTTCATAACCACTCGAACAGGTCTTACAGGCCTGACATTGTTTTTGACCTCCAGTTGCGGAGTATGTACCGTTGGGGCATGTCCTACAGGAGTTTGCAACAGGGTACCCTTCTTCATTATACCCACAGTCTTCCCTCAGCTCCTCACCTGGATAAAAACAAACATTTTCAGAATAACATATTGTACCATGTGCAATTGTCGTGCAATAATGTTCTACATATGACATCTTTTTGAGACCACAAATGTACATATAGGTATGGCACCATATGATATATATATATATAAGGGCTTAGGGTTTTACATACATAATGTAAAGTACACTCTACTAAAAAGGCAAAAATATGACCATATCACAATCACAATGGGTACTTTAACAGGGGTGCCAAAGAATTCACACAAATTTTACAGAATTCATACAAATTACAAGGAAGTCATATATCATAAGTATTTTATGAAACACATACGAAAAACATGTGATTCATTTATGATCAGAAATATACAAATTTTACAGAACATATACAATTCATTACTCAGAAACATACGATCTTTACTACATGTAATTCGGTGACCTGGGCCTACATCCGAGTATGTTTCCGAGTAATGCCTTTATTATCGATTGTATGTATTCCATAAAATTTGTATGTATTCCATAAAATTTGTATGTTTCCTTGTAATAAATCATAACGTTATGTATTTTGTAAAATTTGTATGGATTCCGTAAAATTCATATTCTTTGGCACCCCTGTTCAATTTCCATTAGGCCACACCAATTTAATTTGTTGGTTCTCGGATTTGCCTCTTCATTTTTTTCTGATTTGCAAAAAAAAAAAAGATTCTGGTTCTGAATCAACTCAAAAATGCTCATATTTTGCCCCCAACAGTTGAGGAAATTCCTTTTCTTCCTAGTTGTTACAGTTTTTTTCCATCTATCAATGCAGTGATTTTATTAAAAGTTCAAAATTTATACTTTAAATTTTAACCCAGCCTTTTTTGTTGACTTCATGGCTCATATTGCAGCATTTGGGGCTATAATAGGATGCCTAGACCTGTTTTTATTTTTATTTTTTTCGCCCTGTCGCTTCATATTTTTTCTGAAAAAATCTGAGAACCAACAAATTAGATTGGTGTGGCCTTAGAAAAGATAATCCACACAAATTACATGAACAACTCACCTGGGAGACAGTCTTCAGGACTACAGCTAACACATGTTTCACCTGAAGGATCCCAGCGAGTGTATGGGGCACATCCAACGGATCTTGGCTTCAGCTACGAAATATAGGACATACATATGTAAGCAATCATATAGACTTTTTTTACATGCCACGTAAGAGGAGAGCTGACACGTCAGACACGGTGATAATATTTCACCTGTCTCATATAACATCACTTATGATCTGTATCTGTATAGCCGGTATAACCGGCTTTCGGCATAACACACCAGCTTCGCAGGCACGCGGCGCGGCGGCAGCTGGCTATATTACACCGATCGACTTGTTACACCTAACCCTTGAACAGTGTTTCCGCCAGAGGGCCGTCCACCCGTCATATGACGGCCTGGTGTCGTTTTGGACGGCCTGAACTTGGACAGAGGCCGTCCTCTTAAAAAATTCCGAGACTCGGAAAAATCAGAGAAATTGACAGTCTTTGTTTTGTTGCTGTAGACGAGGACGCCGTCCAAGGCAAGAAAGACACACGTTGTTTGTTTTGCTATTGTTATCATGCTGACGAACAATTGATGTCGGCGCCTTTCGCATACGTTAATCTCATTAAAACCCGTCTTTCAAGTCTCCATCCGGTAAAATGTATCCACAAACATTTTTCCTCGAACAGAATCATTTCGGATGTGAAAATTCTCTTTTGGGAGTTACGTTTTTGATGGTCTTGTAGCGGGCGGGTTGCATGAAAATCCACGCCGCAGTTCGCTATCCACGCCGCGGTTTGCTAACACTTCCGGCTTGCTTGAATACGCGAAAGGCACCACAAATCGGCATATGGATGCATACATTTTCCCAAAAATTCTTCATAATGAATTTCTTTAATTGAATGTTACTAATTAGCGGTAGAAACACCGTAGAAAGTAGCGTAGTGTAACTCTCTTCGCCAACAAACAAATTCTACAGCTATGCCGGCAAAAATGGCTATATCCAATCAGAGCGCAGGTCATATGAGGTCAACCAATCAGAGCGTAGAGTTCACGCTGCTACTTACATATTAATGACAAAATGGCGCGTATTTCCTTCTCCGGCGAGGTTGAGAATGTGTGCTGCAAGTTTATTTTTCCGGCGATTTTCTGACTTTTAACGCCAATTTTTCGCACGCTACGATCACGCTACCATTTGACACTGTACTGGATACAACAGATGAGTGATCATTTTACAATCAAGGAGCATTTTTGTTGAATGAAACAGCAATGAAAGCTACGATACAGCCAATTATTTTTCAAAATTTGTCTCGTGTATGGGAGATAAGATGACGTTTCTTGACCTGTTTTGATGTATTTTTGGCTTGATATTAACTTAAGTAATTCGTAGCGGAAATGTACGGAAGAAGTACGAATACGAACGAAGCAAGGCTCTTCACTATTAAAAATCCGGCTAGCGCGGGCGCTACCGGAGGTTATAATTAAATGATGCCGATGTTTGGAGTTTTGCAGCAGAGTTTTGCAACAGTATAATTTCCTGACGATACGTTTGCCATCTGTAACAGTGTTTTTATGTCAATACAAAAAAATGTGGAATGCTTGTGGACAGTTTCAACTTGTAAACAAGTGTAAACAAATGCCCCGCCCCCTCAGTTAATTTTCGCGACGTGTTCCCTATTAACACGGAACATATTAGTTAAAGGATGGGCGGAGCGAGTTTATGTGGATTTGGTACAGACCCGCCCTCCCAAGGATTTTGTTGGCATCCCGAGGGCGGAGCCCGAGGGGTGCCAACAAAATCCGAGGGGGGTGCGGGGCTGTACCAAATCCACATATACGAGCAATTCGCCCATCCTTTAACTGACTTAGAACATGGCCATCTTTCCGAAGCAAAAGAAACACATTTTACACAATCATGTTTTTTGTTTTAAATCAAAAACACTCATTTGTTTTCCTAGAAACATTACCAACAACATTACAGCTTGTAGTGCGTCCTTTTGTTCTCATTCATGAATTTCAGCTGAGCTTCTGTTCGCAGCCTTATGTGAAATATGCATGGCGGTTGATTTCTTGTCATTGCTAGCCCCACAATGCCTTCTGTTTTTGAGTTGAAAAATTCAGGTTTGTCTGTTGAGACAGCAGTCTCTGATCTGATCTGTAAGAAGTTGGTCGTGGGGTCTTTCTGCCGGCGTGTTCTGTTCCCAGGCTGACATGTTCATGCTCTAACCCTTCCCTCCCTCGCCCAGTGCCTCCCCTGCTGTCCAACCATGTCGGTGTATTCTTTTCTTTTTGTTTTACCGTATTTTGTTTTCAAAGTTTAAGAATGTGCGAATCGTGTTAGAAATGTTGGGAAGACTTTGCATCGTTTTAATGCATCGCTAAAAGTTTGTGGCTTCCGTGTTTAATTTTTTACAATGTATGAGAAACTCGTCTTACTTGACATTTGTAAGAAACCCTCTGATTTTTTTTGCTTCATTCATACTCATTATTCATTCTCTGTTTGTTGTTCACTTTCATTGTCATGAGTTTCTTTTGTGTACCTTTTTGAATAAAGATGTACAGGAAAATTTATCAAATTGCTGTTTTCCTGTGTTGTTAATTTTTTTAGTTGATTTTATTTGCATGTGAATGGTGGGCGTCTCCAACTTAGTCAATTTATTCGTTGGTTAGTACATGGGCGTCTCCGACTTAGTCTAATTTATTCGTTGGTTAGTACACCCCTGTCCCTTTGGGGACCGCACTATGTGGATTTAGTCACAAGAAATACAGGCTCCTGATTGGCTAAGGAAAGGTGGCCATGTTCTAATTATTTTTCTAAGGTTTGGTCTGCACCCAGTACGTGTACGGGCTGCACACACCCGCACACGTCGCCA